CTGAACTGTTCTTTTCTGCAGAAAAATATGTCTTCCAAAAGGAACTCATTTGTCATGAATCACTTCCCTGGTAATCTTGTCAACTGTGTCTGGTTAAACAGCTATTCTTGGATAGGACCATGGAGTTTAGTATGTTACCCTGAAGTTTAATATCACGAAGAAGAGGAACATCTTTACTGACTGTCACCACTTTTTCTCAGAACCTATTCACTTTTCATATATATATTTCTTAGTTGCCTACATTCACCTCTATCTCCCTTATGATGAGGATAGATAAATTTCTAAATCTCATTGCATATTTAACATTCATTTCTCTTTATGTTGATGCCTTTTTGTACATCATACATTTTGTATTCATTTTCTTTTGTTAATCTGCCTGCCTGCTGTCAGTTTATTTAATATACCCAATTACTGAGAATCCTGAGAGAGCACAGTGAAACTCTTGCCTCTTAAACACATCCCATTCAAGAACAGCTGTCTTACAAAGTACCTATTCTAACAGTATATACTGTCATTTCCACTTTTCCACATGAGAAAACTGAGGTGGTCTAAGACAAGCAAAAACCACTTGTATTAAATGCCATAGCTGATAAGTAAATAATCTAAGATTCAAATGAGGATCTATCTCCAAAACCCATATTCCCCAAAACTACATCCAGTCACTAAGCGTATCATCAGTTACCCCACTAATCTCTATGCCAGTTATTTATTCTGTGGATTAACCATAGTACCAAGTGTTTAATGTCAGTCCCTGCCAAATTCCTTAGCACATTCCACGCAGTTGGTTTGTCAGGGATTGTCAACATTTTTGCCTTTGTCTTTTGAGATGTCAATGTGATTATGTTCTCCAGGTTGTCCTTAAATTTCTGGGCACTTCAGCCTTCCAAGTAGTTGGGACTACAAACATGCACCACCACACCTAGCCTGTCAACTTATATATGTTGTTGTTCAGGGGTTGCCAATTCCTTTTTTATATATTCTGCCAAGACAAACAAACATGGGAAATGAAATTCAGCAGGAAAGAAAGGCCTATGAGGTAGCTGGGGGATGCTGTTCAGTAGTATGGTGTTTACCTAGTATGTACAAGACCCTGCACTCAGTTCCTTGAAGGTGGAGTTTAAATGAGTTCACCAGACCTAAGATAAATGATAAATAAGTGTTTTATTGGGGAGCAAATTACACAGATAAGAGTAAATAACTGCTGCGGCCTTCCTGCTCCAGAATATGCAGTCTCTGCCCTTTTGTTGCTCTCTGCCACCCAAACTAGTGAGTCCTGCAGCTCCTCTACTTAAAAGGGTCACATCTGCACCTGAAACCACGCCCAAAGGGTGTGGCCACTACTACAAGTTCATTGGCAAGGCAAGATGCCCCTACAGTTCCTAGTATTGCTGGTGCTGAGGATGGAATCCAAGACCTTATGAATGCTAGGCATGTGTTCTATTACTGAGCTACATCCATAGCCCTGTCATATGGTTTTGTGTTCTTTGTATCTTTCCATACATGCTATGTAGCTCAGGACCCAAAAGGTGCTACTTGAATAGTAGTCACAGACATTCCATGAACAAGTTCCCTTCTTTGGAATTCTAGGTAGTCTAGCTCATTGTAGAAGACTTCATGCCCTATTCAGTTGCTGAACAATTTTGGTGACAACTGCATGGTTGGTACTATGCTAGAGTATGGGAACAGGAAAATTGAAAAAGTGTTATTCTTATCACTAAGAAGCTCAGTTTAGTGGCGAGAAAACATATGAGATACTCATAATATGACATGATATTTGATATCATTAAGGTAGTATGCTCAGTGTGCAATGAAACCATGAAAGAAAATCTGGAGTAAGTTGTTAGGCCATACTAAAGAGAACATGTGCATTGATTCTTGAAGGTTTTGCAGGTAGGGGATACTTCTAGTGAAAAGAACAAGCTTGGGCAGAGAGGTCTGATAAGGGATAGTGAATTTAGCAATGTGGTAGCGTGGCTTCTTTAAAGTGTAGCAAATAATAATGTTGAAATAGCAGATTATATGCCAGTCAAGGAGCCAATGCCTTGGTATCAGACAAGTAAGATAAGTGATTGATAAGGACAGACCAGGGTCAAGGGGTAGGAAGGGTTATGCAGAACTTGATTATTCCTGTTTACCTCAAAGGGGCACCTCTAGCTTGTTGTAGCCATATGGAAATGGGAATCCAATGTTAACAGGTCTTGCGGGATTTTTTTATATTTAGAAAACCAGGAAAGCTGCATTCTAAAAACGTGAAACCTCCAGATTTCTAAATGCTAGAATTGAATTTCCTTTTTTCATTCCAAGTTTTAGTTAATATTATACCAAACACAACACATTTGTTTGCTGAATGTGGCCTACAGGTTTATCATTTTTAGACCTGTGCTGTAGGGGACAGGGCACTATGAAAACAGAAGCAAGCTAAAGCAACACATCAAAACACAGACAACATATTATTAATAAAAGGGAACTTGTGGGTTGGGAGTGTAGCTAAGTGGTGGAATGCCTGCCTAGAGCATATGAGACTTCTAAGTTCAATCTACAGGACTTCATTAATATAATGATAATTATTATTATAACCACATCTATTTCTCACTGCCCTGGTTCACTGTGTTATTTCTAAAGCATATGAAGCCATATTTTCTGCCCCTCTGGCATCGAAACAAGGTCCGAGGTCAAATACAATTCTGAAGGCTTCTGTTCTGAGGGTAATTGTGCAAACAGGGTCTTTCTTGATCCATTCATTAAAAGAAGGGTCATAGTGAGATAGCTCAGTGAATATGGTGTTTGCTGTTCTCTCTACAGTGCAAATCTGATGGCCTCACTTTGATCCTAGGAACTTATGTAAGGGTGGAAAGTGAAACAGATTCTACAAAGTTATCCTCTAACCTCCTCATGTGTTCAGTGGCATGTGAGACCCCCAAAACACACACACACACACACACACACACACACACACACACACACACACACCTAATGGTGTTAAATTTAAAAATTTTAAAGCTGGTAGAACCAGTTAACACCCTTGAGAATCACCAATACTGCCACCATCACTACCACCGCCATCAGGAGATGAATGTCATTTATTTCCTTTTTAGTTTAGATGAAGATAAAGTAGCCTCTTTAAACTGTGTATGCAATAAATTCAACATAGCCAGTGATGAGACAGATACGGCACAATGTAATAGCTGTTACAGTTTAAACTCTCCATTTTATAGTTGAAGAAGCCTAGTCAGTGTTTTCCCATTCCCTCCAAAAAGTATGTTGCTTTGCTTAGAGTGACCCCACAAACTAGTGGCAGAGTGAGGCCTCCTGACTTCTGGTATAGCATTCTTTCCAATAATCCTGGCTGTGATAATTAAGGTAAATCAGCCTGGCAGTTTTCCTAGCATCTAGAATTCCTGGTCTGGACAAGTAGATCTTGAGAGCTGCTGTTGCAAGTCTTTCTTTTCCTCCTTATCTGTGTGATGATGAGGGTTTTTTTTGCAGACTTTCTGTTTCATGGGTAAAGGTTAAAAAGAGGACAAAAAGATATTTGTGGAGCACTGAGACCATTCACAAGGCTATGAAAGCAAACTAGTCTGTGGCTGATATATTTAAAGCTTATGACCTCTGTGCTCTCTGCACCCGACCTCTCTGCCATATGCTTTTGGTTTTGCTTTTCTTTTGTCTCCTTTTCTATATTCTTCTGTGTTTTTCTTCTCCCTTATCAGCCTAGGTCATAAGCCTACCCTTAAGTGCTCTGGGGGCATCACTGAGCCTCCTCAGTGGCTTTTACTAGGCTTACTTCAAGTCAATAAAATTGCTAATTATTCATTTCTCAATTGCATGGAAATGAGAGTGCCTACTGGCTAGAAAAGTGCTTGCTTGCTATGCTACAGCTACTTAAGTCTCTAAAATCTGAGACTAGTAACGCTTGTCAACTTTGACTCTTGACAACTAATCTTTTCCATCCTTCATTTCCAGGTCTATTGTTCTGACATTTGCCATTTTTTCCCTCTGACCCTGTTTCTGATTGGTGTAGCTGTTGAAGATGCTGCAGTTGCAGCATGTACATCTGGAACATTTGGCTGACTTGTTGAACTTCCCCCAGGGAGTACTCCAGGGGAAGCATGGGAAGGGTGGAGAGGCCAGAACAGTTGTCTGCAAGTAGAGATGCCAATAGTGTCTGGCCATTCTGGGGACCACCCTTGTAAGAATTCACCTCATTGCGACCCTCAGTTTACCCACCTGCTCTTTGAAGGCTCATGATCTTTCAAAACTTCTGCAGCCCTAGAAGAAGATAAATTTTTGGCTGTGGACTCACTCACTTTCTGACTTGTGAAAGGGATTAATGCATATCTGTTGAATGAATTAACATGTCAAGAAATCCTAGGAAACTGTGTTACCCTTCAAGGGACAGTATCACTTCAGCTACACTTGGCACTAGTCACTTGGCACTAGGCTTTGACTGTGCCCCCAGACTCACTCTAGGAGTGAGACAGCCTGATTCCCAGTCTGTTTGGCTCCCAGGCCCCTAGGTCTCCTTTCCTTCTGGCGAGCCATTGAATTGCAAACACAGCAGGCATGGTTTCATTCCAAACCCTGAACTGTTTTAATTAGTTTAACGTCTGTTAAACGCTTTGAAGATTGAAAGCAACAGATAAGTACTGGATGATGTTATTAACAACTGCAGTTAATTGCAAACATTTCTATTAATGCTAGTTTCTGCCTCCTTTTCTTTACTCCACGTTCTTTCCAAGGTTCCCAAATTCTTCTCAGCCTCCCCCTCCTGCCCTCCCCCATAGCGGCGCTGCTGAAGGGTTAAACCGGGGTGGAGTCCAGAGATGAACGACAGCGGCAGTCACCAACTGCAACGGGGCAAGCGGGAAGAGCTGGGTGGGGCTGCCAGGCAGAGGTGAACCCCCACGCCCCCAGGCCCCGCCCCACGGCAGGAGGCCCGAGTGGAACGGCAGGGGGCGGGGCGCCCAGGCCTGGCGGGCCCGTGGTTGGGCGTCCCGGGCCGCCCCTTGAGGCATGGGGCGGGGTAGGTGAGGACCTCCTCCCTCATTCCCTCTTGGGCCGCGCCGCCCCTCTCTCTCGCCCCTCCTCCTCCCTTTCCCACCCCTCGGAGTGGAGCTGCACATGCGGCTGCTCCCTGTTCTGTCCCGCCCAGCCACCCTCGCTCAGGAACGGGTCCCTGCAGCCCCCAGCCGATGGCAGGACAGTAGCCGCCTGTCAGGGGTCGCGAAGGGCTGAGGCAGAGGCAGAGGCTCCCGGGCCTCAGATAGTGGCTGTCTCTGGAGGCCATGGGCTACCCTGAGGTAGAGCGCAGGGAACCCCTGCCTTCAGCAGCGCCAAGGGAGCGGGGCAGCCAGGGCTGCGGCTGTCGCGGGGCCCCTGCTCGAGCGGGCGAAGGGAACAGCTGCCGACTCTTCCTGGGTTTCTTTGGCCTCTCGCTGGCCCTCCACCTGCTGACGCTGTGCTGCTACCTAGAGTTGCGGTCCGAATTGCGGCGGGAACGGGGAACTGAGTCCCGCCTCAGCGGCCCGGGTGCTCCTGGCACCTCTGGCACCCTAAGCAGTCCTGGTAGCCTCGACCCTGTGGGTCCCATCACCCGCCACCTCGGGCAGCCGCCCTTTCAACAGCAGCCTTTGGAACCAGGAGAAGATCCACTCCCCCCTGACACCCAGGACCGGCACCAGGTGAGTCACCTAGGAGGGGCGGCGGCCTTGGAGGCCCCCTCCCCTGCTAGGTTGGGTGGGGGCCTGCGCCTCAGGGCTTGGGGGACTCTGCCACTCAGAGCCAAGTTACAGGGCAGGACCTGGGAGTGGGCCGGAGAGCTAGGGAGAGGTTGTCCAGGGCAGGTTGTGCTCAGTTCCTGGCTTGGCTCATCCATACCCTCTCGGGTCCCAAGGACTTGGAAAGCCCAGCCTGCATGCGCCGCCCCCGGGGGTGTGGGCTGCTTCGGGGGGAAAAGTTGGCCAGGCTCGCACCCGGGCCGACGGAGAGGTGCCTGCACCGCCCCCATGGCCGTCTAACGGCGAGCAGCTTGGCCCCTGGTGCCCCTGGTGAGGTTCCCTGCCCGCAGTGCTTGTTTCTTCGTGTCCCGAGCTGATGCCAGCACTAGCAGGCTTCTCTTTGGAGTTGGAGCTGTAAACAGCTGTAATAACTGTTCCACGCCCGTTGAAACAACTTTTAACCGTAGTTTTCAGCGCTGGGTTCTTGTGCGCTGACCAGAATGTGAGCTTTTTCACACTTACCTGCAATTTGAGACCAATTGTCCTCGGCGTTCTCGTGAGGATCAGCGCCCCTGAGGAATTCTGGTAGAAATATGCCGTCTTGCTAGACAACTTCTGAACAGCAATTTAAAAAATCTATGGAAATAAAACTCACCCTTTGCATGCCGGTTCTGACACTCTTGTTGATGGAATGGGGTGCAGTGGGTGTAAAGACTTTCATTATCGCTAGCTTCAGAACAGGAAGTTGTATTTTTGTTTTGTTTTTGGTATGTTTTAGAGTGTTTGTATCCCTTTTAGCAAACCATTAGCTTGGTTGTTTTCCTAATTCTTTCTTCAAGTAAATTCAGCGTAGTTGATATTAAGTATTCTCGTGGTTGCCAAAGTTGTCTTACATGTGAATCTTAAGCAAAGCAACCAAGGATCTTTTTGAGGTGGTTAAAGACTAATGGTTAGTTTGTACCCTTTTGAGAAAACAAGTTGTATAAGTAATTTACTTGAAGTGAGGCATGGAAGTCTTCTGTATTTGGAGCCACATCCATAGTCATTGTCACAACTCTCTAAACATTATTTGTGCTACTTTGACCTTCACATTCATAACAATACTGTCAAGACTGACATTTTTCTCTTACAATGTGTTTTGTAAAATTGCTCCAGCCCTAAAATGCCTTTCAATCACACTCCAACTCATATAACAGCTTATCATAGAAGAGAATCTGCAGACATGCGCCTCATACTTGAAACTTTAAACACTATGGCTGGGTGATACTTAATTAGGACTCTGGGTCTTTTATTTATCTCTCACCTCCTCATCCCCCTAGAAATACTTAGCAACTGCACATTAATATTTTGTAAAAAGTATCAGAGAATTCAACTTCTTTGCTCAACTGATGGTCAAGGCTTTTTGACATTCAGGGTGGACTTGAGGATTAGCAGGACAGCTGTATTCTAGCGCTTCTGTGATGGCATGGGACTCTCATGTCTTTGTCATGGCATTTCGTTGCTTACACTTGTGTAGCACTAAAATACTTAGGTATTTCAACACAGTTTCTCATCTCCTGTACTTTAGAATCTTTCTAGTTTAGTCTTTTGGGACAGTCAAAGCAATGATAGTAGCTCTTTACAATTATTGGCATCAACTTGGAATTGAAGTTTTTCAAATTTGTAAGGTACCACCTAAGTCTATTTTGTTGATTCCTTTGGAGAACATATAGGCCCTGAGGGAGAAGTGAATGGCCTAAGATAACATAGCTTGAGTCAAAACTAGGATGAAGTTGTGCCTTCTTCCAGTTTAGTACACATTACCCCATAATATAGTGTGTGCCAAAAATTTTTTAAGGATAATGAAGCAATCACAGGTTGGAACTCCATAGTAGGCTTTTTACAAAATGAAGGACTCAAATCTGTGTGATTTTGTTCTGCTCTAACTGCATTTTGACCAGGATAAGTTCAACCATGTACTCCTTGTTTGTCTTGAACTTCACTTTTAGGAAAACTGGACTGTAACTGAAGAAGTGTTATCTCAGATTCAACTTGTTTCTCTTGAGGATATTGGCTTTATCATATAATTAAACAAATATATGAATAAATAAATAAAGGAAAAGTTGATTGGCTAATTGAGTTAAATTGATGTGCTATATCTGGGTAAAATTTCTAGTGCCCTGGTGCACCCTCTGCTGGTTTTTCAGTGACATTTAATTGTATTAACTGCTGACAGTCAAACTTCTAATTTGCGCTGGCAGATTCTGATTCATAAATAAGGAAATAAACAGCCTCCTGGGACTTGGCCATGTAGGTTATATTTTATATTTTAGTTTTTCAACATAAACAGCTGCTGTTACAGCAACTCTTGGACAGAGAGGATAAGATATAAAAACACGCATCCCGCAGTGGGCAATATATTTGGGTTTCATACCAATATATTTAGAAAGAGTAAAGGCAAGTTGATGACACTAAACTGTGGTGAGCAGATCAGTCAGCAGCATTTCATTATGTAAGGTCATACGTATATTTAGGCAAGGGTGAAGATATTCATACTTGTGAGATGACTGAACTTGGGCTTTCAATCATGACTGAAGGGAGGACTCCAGAAATCATTGAAGGTGTATGTATAGCATACTGCAATTAAAAAGAAACAGGATACAGAAGGAATTCAGTACATAAAACAGGAAGATCAGCAAATTTCTTCACAGGAGTTATTAGAAAAGAAGGGACACAGTTGCTGATCATAAAGAGTGAGAGGGTAGTATCTGGAATCATGGACTGTCTCCTTTAACTGATGGAGATAAGGAGCTGTATCTAGATACTTCATAAATATTAGCTTAAGAGTTAGGGATGCACCAGTAGTGTCTGAATTTGATAACAAATAATTAAAAACATTAAAATCACAGGATCACACTATAGAAAATAAAGTCTGATCATGTTTATGTTTCTCAGATGTCAAAAATATGGTGGAAAATCTCAGGAATGTGTCAACAACAAAACAAAACTTTTCCCATGGAGATCAAAAATGAATTTTTCTCTAAAATCAGACAGAAAATTCTGGTGGCTGTTCCTCATGAAAAAGCTAACAGCTGATTGATAAAAGACTCCAGAAACCCAATTAAATTGATCAAAAGGGGGAGATTTTCCAGTTGGTTTTTTTAGCCTGGAGAGAGAAGAGAGAGAAATGGGGAGGGAGTTCAAAGTCTTCCAACTCAGGAAAGAGATGAGTATGGTTAGTGTGTTGGTGTAATTTAATATTATAAGCTCAATAAATAAATATTTCTCTGTGCTAGATACAGTGTTATGTATTAGATATCTTTTAATGTTTGAAAAAGTTATGTTGAGAGAGATAAATTAAGATAGCATATCATAATCTAGACTGCAGGCAGATCAATAGGAATTTATTCAGGATTCTTGGAGGTGCTTGAGGTACATTCCTAATTATTTGAGGTGATGTTACAGAAGATAGCTTTAATGTTCTGCAGAGATCTTTGAGTTTAACTATATACATCATTAGCATACCAAGATTTGATATTCCTAATAAATAAGAATCATTCTAGGTGGTTCATGTTCACCATAACAGATTCCACAAATTATGCAACATAGATAAGTTGTTTATGAGTTTAAATGTAGACTTTTCAATGTGTTCTTTAAGGCTTTTGATGAACTGGTTTCATGATATCCCTCTAATTTTCACTCTCATTAATTTTACTCCTGGAAGTCACCCACCATATTCTCTTTGGGGATTATTCTGTAGTTGTTACTGATTTTTATCTTAATTATCTGCCTTTATATTAAAACTGATCAGAAATACACATTCTGTATTGTCCTTATGATTTCTAACACCATTAGTTATAGGTAAGTAGAAAAAAAGTTGTTGAAGTGAATTTTTTGGGGATTGGGTAACATTTATATAAAACAAAGGCATTTTATAAAACAGCTCTGTTTCACTCTGGTCCCACTAAGTCTGTGAACTGTCAGTTTTATTTAGGTAAATAGTTCCAGTGGTAATGTTTCACTGGTTTCTAAAATAATTAGAAAGTGAAGTGGAAAAGAGGAGTCCTAACCATGTGATCCATTTCCTAGTTAAACACTTTCCCTCTAAAAGCTTTTTGTAATACATTATTTGATATTTTATTTGCTTTTCGGTCTCATTTTTCTCTCTTAGATCTTGTGAAAAATGATCTGTAATTTATCTGTAACTACCTTAGAAAGAAGATCTCTATACAGAGAATTTCTGAAGCGATTTGAATTCCCAAGAACATTACCAAGAAAAGCCTTGTGCCTTTGTCTGCATGGTAGCCATTGTAGAGAACCATCTTTGTCTGACTCCTCTGTAAATAAATATCCAGCACTTATTTCCTCATTTCTATTATTTTTCTTTACATTTTATTGGCATATAATTACAAATATAGAAAATACACACATCATAATTGTATCATTTGATGAAATATTACAAAGTGAGCACACTCATGTTGCTTGTACCTAAGTCAAGAGATAAACTATTTTTAACATCCTGCAAAACCTTAAATGTGTCCATATTTATCACTATATCACCCTCATTCTCCAAAGATCATGAATTTCCTGACTTCTACTACCAGAAATAATTTTGTTCATTCTGACCTGTGTATAATGAAATCAGATAGATATATTCTTTTGAGTCTTGTGGGTTTTGGTTAACACTTTATTTGTGAAAAACCATACTGTTGCAGACAGAGATATTTTTAATTTACATTTTGTGTATTCTGTTGTTGAAATATATCACAATTTACAAATTCCTTATCAAGGCAATAAATATATAGATTATTTCCTTTTAGGAGTTATGAATAATGATGTTTCAGATACCTTTATGCATGTCTTTTGGTTCTGATTATTAGAATTTTCATTGAATATATACCCAAGATTAGTTTCTATGCAATGGAAAATACGTATTTTGAAATTATTCATGACAGTTTTTCTAAGCTATTGAACATTTGTATTTT